AAGTAAGGCCATAATACTGATTCACGGATTTAATAATATTTTCTGTATTTGTCCTTACCCTGTTCTCTTCTGGAAGAGGGTAGGGCAGGGATTCATACCCTATTTCAGACCTTTCTTCTCAGTGTCTGTGTTCTGAGTCCTTGTACAGTTAGCAGAAAGAGCTTACCTCCAAGTTTATGTGATGGGGACAAAAGGCACAGGCATCTTACTGAGATTCAGAATTATCACAGGAAAAGCAGGCAAACAAATGTATTTTTCCTAACACTCTGAATGACAAGTGTAAAGTTAATGGCAACACAAAATCTTAAATCTGATAGATAAAACAATTAGCTCAAGAAATATTGCTTGCTTTCTGGCCTTCAAAAATGACTCTGCAAATCATCAGAAGATGTTTGTACTATAAGTATTCTAAATACAGTTTAATTTTAAGCTAAAGACTTGAAGTCCACAAAAGTGCCAGAAAGGCACTTTATGACCTTCCATCATTTCCCTTATTGCCCTTTCCAGATTTGCACATGCAAACTGTAACATCTTTGTCGTAACTACCTTCTGCTAGTTGTTTTCTGCACAGGGGGCTCATTTTTGTGTAAGCAGTTAGGTCTTATTGTTTCCTGCTTCTTGAAAGCAAGAGTAAGAAGTAAGCTTATAGAAGATTCATGAAGATCAGCATGACATATCCTTACACCTCCCAGCTTTGCCACTGTCTTTCGCCCTGTGTTAGTTACCTGTTTGCCTCCACAGGGTAACAGGGTATCCACAGAGCATCCAACATGCCAAGATGTGATCATGGGATAAGTTATACGCATTCTAACAGCACCTGATGACTTGCATCCTAACAGCAGTAGGAGGTTGTGAGAAGAACATAAAACACATTTATTAATAAACTGTTAAAGCTGGTTCTGCGAGAGGCAGAAAGCCGCGCATCAAATCTACTAATGCTAGACAGGAACAATTTTCTCATTTCTAGGTTCTGAAAAATGCCTTCCGAAACCACAGGGAAGGTACATCACACAGACAGGAGATACATCAACTACATCTGCCCATTCCTGGGAGACTCCTAGTGTGCAGATAATATGAGAGTAAGTAGCAAAGACTGACCACTAAAAAGGCATCAAACCCGTCTGAATAAGCCTAAAGAAGTTGAATGCTCATTCCAGCACCATACTTTGAAAGGGTACAATTGCTGGGGAGACCAAACGGTCTTATATTAGCCTTAAGAAAATACTTTAAAGTGCCTTTCCTAAGGGAAACTTAGCATTCTGGATTCTAATAAAAACCATGTCACAAAAACAATTACTAACAGGCTAACAAACTAGCTTTTTTTTTCCAGGAAGTTTATTCCGCCTGAAGCTTATTCTGATATGAAACTTTCTCTGATATAATCCCACCTGCAACCATGAATTATACTTATTTTAAACTAAGTAAGAGGGAAGATCAATTATGCACTTTCTCCTTCAAGCTTGATACAGCTGTAAAGATTTTAAATGTCTCTTCATCTAAAATTCTAGCTCTGTAAAGGGCTGAACTGCATCTATTCTAACAGACAATGTGTTTTCCAGACTGAATGTGTTTAACTATTGCTTGACATGTTTTTCTTTGATTTTCTGTGCCACATCTATGTGGACTGAAATGGGATTTAGATTGCTTAATCAATAACAGGTTATAAAAACACATCATTAGGAATGGAATTTACTTGAAGGGAGGAGGGCACCAAAAGCTACTAGTGCAATAGCATGGTCAGCAGCTCACCCTCTTGGTGCCAAGACTGGTGTCAAATAATAAATTACGTCAAGAGAGAGACACAGATAGCAAGCACAGTAACTGGCTCTATCATCAAAATGCTGGATTACTCTGTATGTGCATTTCATGAATTCTGGGCTTTTTATTATTACTATTAAAAAAAAAGCCACCAAGAAAAGGGAGACCTGCTGAGAAATATGAAGCTGTATTTCACAAGTTGTAATGCAAGAGAAAACAGCAAAGACCTTCATTTCCAAAACAGAGCTCAAACCTTAAGAGGAGAATTATTGATCTATACGGCATGCATCTTTTACCTATTTGTAATACATCTTGTTAGCAGATTTCATGAAGAGTAAGGAATAACTATTAAAGCTGGGAAAACGCCTTCATTTTCCAGTCAAAATTTGGAGGATGGTGAACAAATATCTGAGACTAGCTACTCTAGTATAGCCTGTAAAATACTTCCACATAAATAAATACCACATTTTATAGGACAAAGCTTGAACTAGCTCTTTAGGACACTATAGCATTAGCAACAGCATAATGGCAGCCACAGAAAGTAGATTAACTCTCCTACGGTTTTTCATGGTGAGATTTTACAATACTGTGACACTGCAAGTCTTCTAGGGAAGGAAAGTGCATGTATTTGTACGGCACTGAAAACATTTTGGGTGCCGCCATGATAACAAGACCAGCAGCAAAGACTTTTGGACTCAATCCAAGCGACAGGTTGAACTATCTTCTGGGAGAGAGGAAATCTAAGCTTTAAAAGCTTAACGTCTGCTTGGATAGTGACAACATTAATAGGATGTGAACTTTCCTTCTGAAAACAGTTTGTAACTGTTTCAAAAGTAGGCATCTCAGCTTCATCTCAGCATTCATCTGTCAGAGCTGGATAACGTTAAGAGAAACGCACACTTGTATTCTATTATCTTTTAATTACATTCACAATTTTTACTCTCAGAAGGCACCATATACATGAGGCTTTTAGTCTCTCCTAGAGCAGGACAGCTTGCTATGTGTTTGACAGCTGCAGCAGGATGTTACTGCTCCACCTTTTCTCCCCTTCCTTTCCCTTTCACAGGTAAACAAAGAATAAGGGGGGGAGGGGGAGTAATTTTGGACATAGTACCTCAACTGACCACTTGCAGAACACAGGACTAAACAATTTCACGTAGAAAAGAACTGGGGAATTTGCATCCTGACAGGGCTTCCATTAGTGTTATGATTTGCTTCTGCTCCTTTCACAAGGCTGTTTACACCTGGTGAATTTCCAGCTGATTTCGTATTTTTAAAGCAATTCCCCAGTTTGATTTGTTGCAAAAATCTTCCACTGCTCTTTGTTTACAATGTCTGTCTTTCTTACTTATGAGGTCTTCCACATAAATATTTTACTAATGCACAACAATACAAAACTGTAATAGGACTGCCTAAACTCCTTTCTTTGGGATAAATTGCATCAGCACAAGGCAGTTTTACAGGTAAAAGAAAATATTATGGCATGTCTTAATGACATGCAGCACACTGCTTTGATCTCTTAAAAAGGCATTTCAGTATAATGACTCCTATAACATAAAACATGTTTGCTAAAAGTAGTACCAAAAATTTGAAAGGATCAGTTAGTAAGCGATCTTCATTGTTTAAAGTGACTGTTTCTACCCACTTTTGGGTAGAAATAGAACCACACCTAAAAGCCCTTCTGTCCTATTCTGGACAGAATCTGATAATTTCTTTGAATATGCATTTTCCTCCTTAACTAAGGCATCCATTGAGGTAATGAAAAAACATATTTTGGGCCTGGAAAAATCACAAGCTTTATATATGAAACAAAGATTAAAAAACCCACATAAAATGTCCTAAAAAGAACTGAAGTGTTCCTAAATCATAATTCTACTACTGTTCCTAAATCCTAGCTCCCAGAGGAAGTCACTTGGATTTAAAATTATCTGTAATATAAACTGATAATTTAAATTGCCTCAGCACTGGCTTATTCTCTTAAGTAATTACACCAAACTGAAGCACCCTTTAGTGTTTCTCAAATAAGAAAATAGTTTGTAGACTTGGCAATTCTGTTCATCTTTAGTATAAAGTAAAACAGACTTGAATTAGAAGTAAGTCCTGAATATATGATTGATTTTATGTATGTTTTATGTATAAATGTGTTCTATCATCCTTCCTCAAAAAACATACAGCTAAAAATACATTAAAAGTGTATTAAGAGGTAAGGCTACCCCTGGCCAGCCTGCATTTTGATACCAACAGAAGTGAATTTATGAGCACTGTAGAATATGCAGAATACTTACTACCTTTGTGTGTACACACACACACTTCAGAACCAATCCTTTAGGCTGGAAAACAATATACAGGATTCTACAACCACAACATAAAGAGAATAATGAGGGCTCTTTTTCAACAGAGCTTTACGTATTCACTTCATATAACTGAGAAAAAGAAAGTTCTGTCTTAGCAGAACATAGTGTTTAGATTCAAGTCTTTAACTTCATCTAAGTCATTTATTAATATATTACTCTTCCTTTTCCTCTGCCTCATGAATTGCTCAATATTTGTTTGGGAATGGCACTGGATTTTCAAGTCATCTAACTTTTGAAATTTCACAATAATTTCCTTTTAAAATAAGTAGTAGAAAAATAGGCTGATCATCCTTCAGGAGAAAGGCAGGAGGCGGGGGGGGGAGAAGAAAGGATGTAATTGAGGTTATAAGCACAGCTGGCTGCTACCCAAGAATTCTACCAGCTGAACCACTGAATTAATTGTTGGCCTGAATTCTCATTACATATTGCTGCAAAATTATACTGCCCAATTAGGTTGGTAATCTAATATTCTAACTACACCTTAGATTTTTTGTACAGTACCCAGCAGTGAATTCCAAGAACTAATTAAATAGTCAATTTGAATCCTTGTTCGTAGTTTTAGTAACTTTTAATGCAAGTTTTTGTTATTTTTGCTGCTGTCTTAATTCAAAATCCCTTGTAATTCCTCCCTCCCCTCCAGTTGGAAGAAACATGGTGGGAGGATGGCATATAAGTGATATAAAAATATCTTGACACAGGCTATGAGTGATTCATTAATTCTTGGTCAATAATTCAATATGAGGTTTCCAAACTAATAGTCACAAGTTCTCAGATTTTATTGGAAAAAACACTCCAATTAGAGATGTGCCCAATTATGTGATGCAGGCCTGGTAATTCTTAGCTGCACAACAAGCAATCTAATACACTTCTGTGAACAATCGCTGGAACTTCCTCAGATTGCATTTGCTTTAGTAACAGCCCATCAGCACACCTTCCCACCCCTCAAATACCTGCCTGTTAAATAACGGTTTAGTTCAGCATCTGGGCAGAAGTTAGACGCAATGCATTAGTTTGCTAGGGCCAATATGGTTACAAACACATTTCAGAATGCTTGCTGACAACATGGCAAATGTCTCAAGTCTGTTAGCTACCTTTATCACAGAACATGAAGGTTCTTAACAGCAGTGGGAATATAAGGTAAATGAAAACTGTCAATTCAAAGTGACTTTTCCTTTTATAAATTAAACTCTGTATGAACAAATGGATTGGTACTTGCTTTCTTCCACACTTGGTCAACAACTATACTTCTCAGCTCTGGGCCGGGGTCAGGCTGAAAGGAGTAGCAGCAAGGAAGGAAGTAAAAAAGGAAGGGTGGGAAAAAAAGAAGAAAAATACCTGAGGTATTTTCTTCTTTTGCCTTGCTGCAACAGACCAGTCCTCTAAATACACTGCAAGTAACCCTTTGCCTGCTAAGGTGCCTACTGTGCCTTGTTCCTATTAGAGGACACGTACCAGAATAAAACCTGAGTTGAATACACATTTTAACCTAAAAATCCAGAGGCAATGGTGCTAGAAAATCTAGAGAATAAAGAAAAAACACATACTGTAGATGTAAGAGTCCTGGCCGAGTTGAAATTTTGATTTTGCAGGGTATGAGATCTGATCCTGATCAGTACATCTGATCAGGCTCCAATCACAACCTCTAGATAGTGCGTGACAGACTAGCTCAGAAATCCCAAGGTGCATCAGCAGGTTTCACATAGTGGTAGCTCACACTCAAACAGTACGAGCAGGGAGCAGTAAGGCCCCAAAAGAGTTTGCTCAGTAAATTTTTAGTGGAGTTATCACATCCACAAAGCAGCCCTCAAAAAACTGATCCTTAAAAGGTAAATTTTAACCTTTACGAGATAGAATAGGTCGTTCAGTGAGCTGCTTTAGTAGCCAAATGAAAATTGAAGTTGCTGTCTTTTTTCCAGGACTGAATGATATTTTGCTCATCCTAATGTCGTAGTGTTTAGAATTAAGACAAGGTGTCTTTCGTTAGGACATCTATATAGCAAGGGGGAAGGAAAACAGTTTGTTCTAAAATGAAATAGGTCAGACAGATACGTACAGAGATGACACTTCAAGCAGATAGTGATGACTGTGAATGTGACTAGCTACTCATACAGAAGGAAGGTTGGAAATTTAAGTAACAACGTAAAGCCAAGGACTTATGCTTCACTCAACAGGTCCAAACTGGCAAGCCCAGAAATGAAGGAGGTTTGTTTTCTGATGCACATTCTGCATGGAAATGCAGAATTCTGCTGCAGTCTCTTGCACTGTTGCAGCTTGTCTCTTGGCTAGTTTAAACTGCACTCTACAGCTAAAAGGAAAGAAGAAACTGAAAGCTTGGCATAAACACCAAAGGCTAACTGAAATAATCAGCATTTATAGTGGTCTACACTAGTGATGCCCTACCTAGACATTAGCAAGGGGAAATATTTCCTTTTGGTGCATTTGCAACTGTCGAGACAGAGACTGTGATTCCAAATCCCCCTTCGCAATTTTCCTGCCATCAATGGCTTTCCAGTCATTCTGTGAAAACAGTACACTTTCACAGACCTAATAATAATTGAACAACACACTAAAAGGAAATAAGATAACTTCACAGAACTTGCTCTCTGCTTTGGTTAAGTAACATGAAAAGTATACTCCACTCCCTAATAGAAGCATAAAAGTGGTAGCATGTATGAGACCATTGACACAAATGTATTTTTGTCACGCAACTGATCAATGTATACTGAGCAAACATAATGAAATCTGAAAGAATTTAACTGGGAAGAGATACTAACCAGCATGTGTAACGGTAACAGGATCTGGTTTACAGTGTTTTCTACATAGTTAAATAGATTCCAGTCCTGCTGTTTCCCGAGTAGGAAAAGCACAGTGCCGAAGATTACACATAACAACTACTCCTTGTTAAATAATATCTGTGGTTTTGTACACAGTGTTCTCTTAGAGGTCCACATATTTCAATTATAAAAGCATCTTTCCCTGGAAGCTTTGATCAGCAACCCCATTGTCTGTTTTTTTGTTGGTTTTTTTGGGTTTTTTGGGATTTTTTTAGGGAGGCAAGGAAGAGAGCAGTTTCATTTCCAAGCCAACAATATAAAACACTCAGCACTCAGTGCTTTAATTGAAGCTCATTCCCACTCAAGCTAGTTTGAAATAAACTAGCATGGGTACCCGAGCAGTGTCATCAGCCCCACACAGGCTACCCAAGCCCATTCAAGTGCCTGTATACTCAAACAACACTGCGTAGATATGCCCTGAAATGTGAACTGATACCTTGTAGTCCCCAAGCAAAACCTAGAAATAATTGACCATGCAGATTTACTGTATCAGATCCTGTATACTAATTTTAAATAGAAATCCAAAGATGCATAGATAATAAAAAGCAGTTCCCTGCCTCGCTTCATGTGCTCTCTTATATCACTAAAGGTAGATCCTAGATGTGACTTTCCCTGGAGTCACCTGCAGCTCTGTCTTCAGCCCTGTCGCTGAGAGGGGAGGCACAGTTTAATGACCCTGCTCACCTCTGCTTCCCTTACTGCACTCGTGCCTCTCTCTGAGGCAGCTTGACACAGCCCCCAGCAACGGAGGTCAAGTCAGAGGCTGTGTTCGGTTAAATGCTGCACCCCCTGGAGCCGCCCTTCGGGGCTGGTGAAGTCTCTGCAGTTGGAAAATATGGCAGGATACGTATCTATATGTGTACATGCGTGTGTGTATATACTTCTGCACAAGCGACATGCAGGAATGTTAGCATGACGTTAGCTGGTCATGCACCAGCATCATGAGACAGTCAGTGTAACTATCACTTGTTGAATTTGTGCTTTCCAAGGAATCTCTAGTAAGAGTTATCATCTTTCTTTTAATACGTGGCCTAGATGAAGCAGGTAACAGGGCAATTGCCTACTCTCTTGAGGAGAAAAAACACACCCCAGACTCCATAGTCCCTCTTACTACTAACTGAGCGCATGTGAGACTGGCATGGTCCTGCTGTTTGGGACAAAGGAGGGAGAGAAAAGCACGGTGATTTAGTGCATGCATTTTGTGAATTTATTTTAGATTTATACTCTTTTACTTATAGTCTGAAAGCAGGAGAGTATTTTTCTATGTGGATCATCTTTTTTTCTGAGAATACAGAAAATAAGTATTGAAGTTTATTTGGAATAAACAAATAAGGTGAAAACAGGTTTTTTAAAACTTCCTTTAAAAAGAGATATTACCCTAAAATATTTCTAATTCTTTAACAATGTAGCTGAAATCTATCTTACATAAAGACATAACTCTAAAGTTTCACCACAATTAGGATTTTTCTTCAGTTTTGCTTTCGAAAATGTACAAATACATGCAAGTATATAACATATATAACAAATCAATAATATCTACTCAAAATAAATGCTGACAGTGCCCTTTTATGGAAATGCCTGTGGAAAATGTAATTAATAATAGACCAGTTCTTCTTCAGTACATTTCTTTTACTATTTCTGAAGATTTTACCCAAGTGTGATTTTTTTTCCTCCCCTTGTATCAGGCAATTTTGACTCCTCTGTGGGTTCCAAATTAATTTATTTCAAGATACTTACTAATTTCCTTCTGAAAAAAGCTGAACAGTGACAGAAAACAGTTGCTGGGGAAAGCATATTTCCCCTTTACAACAGAAGCTGAATTGAAGTACATTGACTTTTCCCAATACTGGTACAATTTTGAAAGTGTTTTTCTACTGCTACACACAAATTATCTTACAACAAACCAGCTATTGCATTTCATGCGGTCCAACACTTTTTCCAATCAATAAAAATGTTATACCTACATTCTTCCACTTAAAGAAAGAAATAAATAAAAGGACCTTGTGATGGAGGTATGGCTACCTTGCCTTCCACTGCAGAGCATATATGCAAAAATTCAAGCCTAGCTGCTCAGTATGCTTTCCCTTGGAAGTTACTTTCAATAGTACCTAGGCCTGGACCTTCCACATGCTGAAAAACTCCTCTCAGGTTTGAACTTGTTCAGTTCTAGTGAAGGACAGCGAGTCCTGCAAAAGCTCAGGCTTGGGGTTAAGTTCCCACTGTGATACAGTGACAAATCTGCCACACTGCAAAACTCATCCGGTCTTCCAAGTGGGTGAGGTTACCTGATGGCATGAAGTAATTTCTCTGAACTACTTAAAGCACTTTGAAGCCAACTGGATTCTGGGGGAAGAGGAAAAAAAAGGGGACGTGGGTGTAAATTCTTACATGACTATAATTAAAATACTTGCTATTTTCCTGGCTGGCTCAAAAGATACTATTGGAAGCAGCAAGAAAAAGATAAGGTAGTTATCACAGAGAATGCCAACAGTGTTTTAAGAAATAATGGGAAAATATCTTTAAGAAATATTTGCAGGTGTAGATCCTTCCAGGCTTGTGTTTCTTGAGGAATAAAGGGGATACAAATTATGGCATAGATGAGGGAGGAAATTGGTGGATTGGGAAGATGCTGAAATGTGAAACAATCTCAGAAAATGAGAAAACCATGCTGTCTTGGATGTTGATGTAGAAGAAGCATGGCTATCTGTTACAAACTTTTTGATCTAGAAGCAAGGCTAATCTGGCCAAATTTGGGCTCATAATTTTTATGCTGTGCTGTTCACTATGCACCTTGGGCTGAATGATTTGCTTTCAAGAGCATTGGAAGGAAGCATCAATTACAACTGGGACATACTTTGAAAACTCGAGGGAAAACACCTCAGAAATCATTTCCACAAGAGCTGAATAGCTGGTTTCCATCTTGAAAGAGCTGCAGAAAGCCAATCCTGCCATACTTGTGAAACAGACGCTCAAAGGGATCTGAGGCGGAAACTCATCTGAGGACTCCCAGCACACTGCACATAATGACTGAAGAATATTAGTTCATTAATCTCAGTCCAAAATGTCAAAATCATGTTTACTATGTAATTTAGAAAAC